TCACCACTTCAGACTCAGCAGATGTAGAACTTAAACCATCATTGCATTTTTCTCATGAACTACCAACTGCTCTTTCTAACTTCTTTATTTCCAGATGGTGACTGTTTTCTGAGTTGCCTGGCTGGTAGCCCCTGTTTTGCAGCCCCTGTAATAATAAAAGTACTAGCCAGTATTTATCAGTGCTTCCTCTGCCGGGCAGTGTTCCAAGCCCCTCACAGCAACCCCGCAAGGGAGGTGCCGTGACTGTTCTCTTTCGTATGTGAGATAGAGCCCGTCGCCCGGGGTCACGGGGCTAAAAGGTGGTAGAGCAGGTACTTGAACCCGCGCGGCCTGGCTCCCGAGACCACCCTCCAGACCACGACTCTGAACTGCCTTTCAGGGCTGCAGCCGGACACCACGCAGTGCTCACTCATCTGCTGAGCACGGTCTTGGCCTTTCTCTGTTACTTCCTTTGCAGCAGATGCTGCCTTGTTGATCTCATTACCACCCATCCCCTCTGTCAGTTCATCTTGCAGATGGTAGACAGCTGAACCTACCCACAGCACCTCTTTCATGGTCCACTTCCCTGCTCTAACACTTTTTAAAAAACAGTTTTATTGAGACATAATTCATATATCACACAATTCACTTACTTAAAGTATACAATTCAGTGGATTTTAGTGTTTTCACAGAGTTGTGCATTCATCACCACAATCAATTTTAGGACATTTTCATCATCCCCAAAAGAAGCCCTGTACCCCTTAGCTGCCATCCTCATCTGCATTCCCCACAGCCCCTCGCAACCATGAATCGACTTTCCGTCTATGGATTTGCCTATTCTGGACATTTTATATAGAAGGAATCATACAACATACGGCCTTTTGTGTTTGGCTTATTTCACTTAGCGTAATGTTTTCAAACTTCATCCGTGTTGTAGGATGTATCAGTACTTCATCTCCTTTTATTGCTGAATAGTATTCTCTTGTGTGGATATACCACGTTCATCCATTCATCAGTTGATGGACATTTGGGTTGTTTCTACTTTTTGATTATTGTGAATAATGCTGCTGTGAACATTCGTGTGAAGTTTTTGTGTGGACGTAGGTTTTCATTTCTCTTGGGTGTATGCGTAGGAGTGGAATTGCTGGGTCATACGGTAACTGTTTAACTGGTTGAGATCGAGAACTTTTAAAAGCTCCTCAGACTCCTCAGTTGAATTTCCTTTCCGTCTGTTCTCGATTTTTGCTGTCTAAATCACAAATGGGCTGCTTCTGCCAGGCCAAGTTTACTGTTGTGATCTGAACTGTGTGTTGGGGCCTCTGCCCTCCGGCTCATACTATCCTCCCCAACTAGGATGTGGCCCAGGGGCAGAGTCAGCCCACACTTGTATTTCTTAGAGACACACAGCACTTTTTAAAATCTGAATTATTAGTGCACATTTAATAATTATGAGATTATACTTAATGATCCAAATTATGTTCCTCTAAACACTTGGAAGATTTGGCCACCCTGGGCCCACACTTCTGTGAGGCAGCACCTGACTACAGACTGCACCTTCCTGAGGGACACAAGCCCTGCCTTGTCCTCCTCACGCTTTACTGGCCCCGCTAAGCATTGGAGCCCCTGACCTTTGACCTAGACCCATCCTTCCAAAGCCCAGCTCAGCTTGCTTCTTCAACTATTGTGCGCCACTTCTGAAAGCCTCTGATGCTTATACCACTGAGCTCCGCACCCTGGTTTAATATTTGGTTTTACGGTTATTTAAATGGGAGTGATAGGGAGTTAAAAGGAATGTGTTTCAGTGGTAACAATTGCAGGCTCTGGGCCAACTGTCTGGGTTCAAACCTCATTTTTACCCCTTTACCAGCTGTGTGACCTTGGGGAAGTTAGCTAACTTCTCTGAACCTTGGTTTCCTTATATTTTAAAATGGGGTAACAATAGGACCTCCTTATATATTGTTATTGTGAGGAGTAAATGGACTGACATGCATACATTGTTATTATCATTATTGCCTTTTTCTTGATGTCTTCTCAACAGTATTTTAAGAACTTTGAAGACCAGAGCCCTCTGGGTCTGGGGGAGCAGCTCAGCCGTTGTTTTCTCAGTGGGGGCACTTTTGGCGTTTTGGCCAGCACATTTGGGCTGGGTTGTCCTGTACTTTCAGGGTCTAGCATCCCTGGTTAGAGCTGCACCCTCAAGCTCTAGCTGAGAACGAGAGTCAGACTTCTACCACTGAGGACAAGGGCGCCCTCCTGCAAGAAGGCTCCTGGCCTCATTTTTTCCCTGCAGCCCGGTGCTGCCGTCAGGCACAGCAGGCTAGGCGGAGTTCAGGGTGCGTTGTTCCACCCGACACGGCCTGGTCCTGCCAGCTGTCCAGTGGGCCTGAGTGAGCACTGTGAGCCCAGAGTGGCCGCTGCAAAGGGGTCTGCTGGGCCAGCAGGTCTGAATGAGGAGCCACTTCTTTTCGTTTGTTTGAATTAAATATTGACTAGATAAAAAAGAATTCTTAAAAAATACATTTTAAAATATACAGAACTATGATATAACAGATACCAATGTACCTACCAACCCGCCTACAAAAGAGCTTCATTGTCTCCTTGTGTCCCTCCCTGAATTCTTTCCATTTTCTCTCCTTTGCTACTATGAATTGTGGGTAGGTTATTCCATTGCTTCTCCTTGTTGTTTCTGCGTGTGTCGATTCCCTAAAGAACATATTGTTTTATTTTGAAGAGGAGTCACACTGTGTGTGTCTGAGTGTGGGTCTTTTCGTCCCTTTATCCTGCATTCAGGAGAGTCTCTTCAGATTTGTCTTCTAATAACAGACTCTTTTCATCTGTTTCTAATCCATAAAAACCTATCCATTCAATTTCTAATTTCCAGTTGTATTTTTTACTTATTGAAGTTTTGTTTATTCGGTCATTTTATATCCTATTTTTAAAATTAATTTTTATTTTATCAAAGCAGTCATGTTTCTTTTTCTCCACGTTATGTTTTTGAGCATGTCCGTGACGATGTGTGTATGTCCATTTTCTCTGCTGTCCAGTGTTCCATGGAGTGACTGTGGTGCTGTCAGGGGCTAGGAAGGCAGGAGCAAGCAGACAGATGTGGCCCCTGCTCTGATGGGGCTTCAGGCGTAGCAGGGAAGAGACATGCACGGGCACTGAGTCAGTCAGGTGGCTTGCAGAAGACAGGGCCCCCAGGAGGGGAGGCCAAGAGGTTGGTGGAATCTCCTAGAAGCTGCAAAGGACGAGTAGGAATTGGCTGAGTGGGAGAACTGGTCCCGATAATGCACACAAAGCCTTTGGTAAATGGTTGATCCTCCTGTCGTGACGTCAGGCTTTCTCCATATGTAGGACTGTGAACTGGCCTGGGTGTTGCGAGTCAGGGGAATGTGAACCGTGTCGTGTGAGGTGTTGTGCATTTGAACCCTAAGCTTTAATACTGTTGTTCTGTGTATTCAAGTCACTGATAGTCAGAGCTCACGCTCTGCGCTAGAGGAGGGAGTCGAGTGTAGTGTGTGGTTAACCAGCTCTTGACCCTGCAGGTACCAGCCCTCGGCTCTTCCCTCTCGTGTGGAGCTGGGATAATCGTGGTGCCCGCCGTGCAGGATCTCATGCGTGCGAATAGGTGGGCACGTGTGACGTCTCAGCCCTGTGCCAGGCAGCGGTAGCATCGTGTTGTCATCGCCGGACTCTGTGCTCAGTGTTCTGTGTGTTATTCTCTTTTACCCTCTCATAACCCTGTCCACCTGCCACTCGGACATCTCCACCTGGATATCTTAAGCTCAAACACACTTAAAACGGAACTCCTGGTTCCCCCTCCATCAAACTGTTCCTCTCCCAGTCTCGCCGTCTCCGTAAATGCCACCACTGCCCGTCCTTTGGTTAGGCCTCAATTCCAGGAGTTAATCTTTGGTTCCTCCTTTTTGCTCATGCTTACCCCCATCTGTCAGCGGGTACAGTCAGTTCTGACTCCAGAATGAATCGTCCACTCCCTCCGGCTCCTTTACTGCCACTTTAGTCCAGGCCCCATCGTCTCTCCTTGGGCAACCGCATAGCCTCCTCCTTGGTCTCCTTGCTTCTAACCGTTCTCCCCACGGCGGGCTGGGGATCTATTCTGAGTATACATCAGATCTTGTCTTTTCCTGCTTCAGACCCTCCAGTGGCTTCCCCTGAACTTAGAAACAAGTCCAGACTCCTCACCTGGTGCCACGAGCCCTGCCCTCCTGTCTGCTCCCTCCTGCTCACCTGCATCTAGACCCCTAACAGCCAAGCTCTTTCCTGCCTCAGGGCTTTTGCATGCAAAGGTCCCTTCATCCGCAGTGCTCTCTCCCCGGCTTTTTGCAGGGCTGACTCTTCAGGTCTCAGAAGGGCCTTCCCATTACCCACTGTCTCAATCTCTGTCTGTAATTTCTTTATTGACTTACTTTTTTCTCCCTCCCATCTTCCCTGAGGGCAAAGGACCTGTCTGTCTCCCTGGCATCTACGTGTTGCCTGGCACATGTGCGCACTTGGTAATGGAGTGGCGGCTGTTAGCTCCAGTTAGTGGCAGGATGCAGAAATAGCGACTCAGAAGTCAAGTAACGCCCAGGGTCACACACTAGTAAGCGGCAGTCAGACCCCAGAGCCAGGCCCTCACCACGACACTGTAGTCTTCTGCAGTGCCAGACCTGCTGGCTGATGCCCAGGGAGGAGCAGGGCCAGAGTCTTGCCAAGTATCTGTAAATGCAATCTGGCCTTTCTTGGGAGTAGAACCTTCCCCACGCAGATTCCTGGAGAGGCCTAAGGAGTTTGACACCTTCTCTTGCAGTGGTTCTCATTGAAGGGAGGTGTCTCAAAGCCACCCTCCTTCCTTCTCTGGTTGAGGTTTGCTCTGGCGTAAATCATTTTTGTAGGCTCTCTGGGCTGGGGAACAAGGATGCTGGGACCAGAGGTGCAGGGTAGGGGTCTGGGTGCACCTCGGGGAAGTCAGACATGCTGCCCACTCCTGACAACCTCTCCCTCCCTCTCCTCCTGCTCAGGTCGCACTAGCTTCTATGAGAAGTACGGCGTCATTCGCGACGTCCTGCAGAACCACCTGACGGAGATCCTCACCCTCGTGGCCATGGAGCTGCCCCGCAACATCAGCAGCTCGGAGGCTGTGCTGCAGCACAAGCTTCAGGCCTTCCAGGCCCTGCGGGGCCTGCAGAAGGGCAGCGCTGTCTTGGGCCAGTACGAGGCTTACAGCGAGCAGGTGCGCAGAGAGCTGCAGAAGCCAGACAGCTTCCACAGCCTGACGCCAACCTTTGCAGGTGGGCTCTGGAGCCGAGCACAGGCTGCGGGGCTACCCCCAGCCGGCAGCAGCTCTCCAAACCCAGACGCCCTTTGGTTTGGGTTGGAAGGGACCTGAGGTGGGGTTTTCATAAGGGTGCTCAGTGGCAAGGGAGAAATTGCCCTGCCTCTCTGGCCTTCTGCCAGCTTAGAGCAGCAGGTCACCTGCTGGCTCCCTCTGGGTGAAGGACACCCCACTGGCAGTGTCAGTTCCTTCAGCATCCACAGGTCCTTCCAGGGCTTTCTGAGCTGAGCGCAGAGCTGGCTCCTGCCCTCGTGGAGCTTACCTCCAGCCCCCCAGTGAGGCTGCAGACCTGCCTGGCCGCAGCCTGGGCACTTCCAGAGGCAAGCACCATGCTGGTCGGGCAGATGCCCCAGAGCCATCCTCTGCACAGTTCCACAGGCTCAGAGCTTTCCGGGAGAGGGCTCCCCCTGAGACTGCAGATGGTGACCACCACAAGAGCCGCGGCCGTTTCTCAGACACACGCTTACTGTGTCCAGGCACTTTGTGCACATTATCTTGTTGGATCCTCCCCCGCACAGGCCCACGAGGCAGGGGTGGCTGTTTTCCCCATTTGAAGGCAAGGAAACAAGAGGCTTGTGGAGCTGCAGGGGATGCTGTGCAGAAATGTCCATGGGAAACCAGGCTTAGTGAGGCGTACACTCGGTGTCCAGCCCTCGGCCCCAGGCCCCCGCAGGCCCCCTTACCTGCACACCATCCTGCACACCACCGCGTGCAGGCCTGTGGCTGAGAGCCCGTCCCCCTCCCCTTCTCCCTGACCCTGACCTGCTTCAGGCGTGTCCTGAGTGCTCTACACACAGGACCACCTCCCCTCCCCCGCCTTGCCCCCACCGTGAGACTTCTCTTAGAGTCTCCAGGCTGGACACTCTCTGCCCAGTTCTCCTTTGCTTAGGGGCCTGTGACTCTAAGAGGTGCATCAAGGGAGGTGGGTGTCTGAGATGGCCCCAGAGGCTGCTTTTGGAGTGCTGTCTGGGAAGAGAAGATCGCGGAAGGGGTGATAGGTAGGGGTGAGTGTAGCAAGGCAAGGGGTGCTCCAGAGGCAGTGGGCACCCAGAGCGAGGCTTGGAGAGGAGAAGGGCTGGCTGGCAGCAGTCCTGGGCTCTCTCCCAGGTGCTCTCTGCTGGAGCGTCACCTCCGCTGTCCCCTGTCGCCTCAGGCATCCTCGTTCACATGGACAACCTTCGTTGGGAGGGCGTCCCTTTCATCCTGATGTCCGGCAAAGCCTTGGATGAGAGAGTGGGCTACGTTCGGCTCTTGTTCAAGAACCGGGCGTATTGTGCCCAGAGTGAGAAGTACTGGGTCACAGACCAGAGCCAGTGCCTGCCTCGGCAGATCGTCTTCTACATCGGACACGGCGAGCTGGGCAGCCCTGCCGTGCTGGTCAGCAGGAACCTGTTCAGGCCCTCCCTCCCCTCCGAGAGCTGGAAGGAAGTGGAGGGCCAGCCCGGGCTCCGCCTTTTTGGCCGCCCTCTGTCCGATTACTATGCCTACAGCCCTGTGAGGGAGCAGGACGCCTACTCCATCCTCATATCTCATATCTTCCACTGCCGCAAGGATTCCTTTATCACCACGGAGAACTTGCTGGCCTCCTGGGTCTTCTGGACTCCCTTGCTGGACAGCCTGGCCCACGAAGTCCCACGCCTCTACCCGGGAGGAGCTGAGAATGGACACCTGTTGGACTTTGAGTTCAGTGGCAACCAATTATCCTTTTCCCAGCAGCAGCTGGAGCAGCTGGTGCCAGGACCAGGTTCTGTGCCGATGCCCAGTGACTTCCAGGTTCTCAGGGCCAAGTACCGAGAGAGCCCACTGATCTCGGCCTGGCCCGAGGAGCTGATCGCTAAGCTGGCCAACGACATTGAGGCCACAGCTGTGCAGGCAGTGCGGCGCTTTGGCAAGTTCCACCTGGCACTCTCGGGTGGCTCAAGCCCCATAGCCCTGTTCCAGCAGCTGGCCATGGGGCACTACGGCTTCCCCTGGCCCCACACGCACCTGTGGCTGGTAGATGAACGCTGTGTCCCGCTCTGGGATCCCGAGTCAAACTTCCAGGGCCTGCAGGCTCACCTGCTGCAGCACGTCAGGGTCCCCTACTACAACATCCACCCCATGCCCGTGCACCTGCACCAGCGGCTCTGCGCTGAGGAGGACCAGGGCGCCCAGCTCTATGCCAAGGATATCTCAGCCCTGGTGACCAACAGCAGCTTCGACCTGGTGCTACTGGGCATGGGCACCGATGGGCACACAGCCTCTCTCTTCCCACAGTCGCCCACCGGCCTGGACGGCGAGCAGCTAGTGGTGCTGACCAAGAGCCCCTTCAGGCCGTACGATCGCATGAGCCTCAGCCTGCCCCTCATCAACCGTGCCAGGAAGGTGGCGGTCCTGGTCATGGGCAGGATGAAGCGTGAGATCACCATGCTGGTGAGCCGCGTGGGCCATGAGCCCAAGAAGTGGCCCATCTCTGGCGTCCTGCCTATGTCTGGCCAGCTGGTGTGGTACATGGACTACGAGGCATTTCTGGGATGAGGGCACCGTCACCCTTTGCTCACCCCGTGCCTTCTTTTACCTGTCCTCTCCCTCCATTCTTAGTCCTGCCACCTGCTCGAAAGCCCTGGCTCTCTGGAATCTGATGCCTCAGGGTCAGGGCCCCAGACAGGGAAAGCAGAGGGAGAGACGACGCCCTATCCCAGTCCCTTTGACAGTCCCTGTCTAGTTGTGATGAGTAGACACAGAAACAAGGAAGCAATGGAATCTCTGCTCTTGAGGAGCTTCCAATCTAAGTCAGGAGGGAGATATCCACCTTAAGAAGAGACCTGCAGCAGTTACACATTAGCATCAACCAGCACAGAGTAAGACGGCATGAGAGCTCCCAACTTGGGAAGGAAGCCTGGGGTGAGGTTAATCAGGGGAGGGTTCCTGGAGGTGGTGATCCTTGAACTGGGTCTTGAGGAGAAGAAGAGCATGGACGGTAGAGAGAGGGGGGAGAACGGGCGTCCGTCGCTGCAGGGCCCCGTGCAGGGCAGGGTGCTGGAGCTGTCCGGAGCTTCGAGCTGGTTGAGCCCCTCCTTCCTCTGTCCGTCCCTCCTGAGCCCCTGATGTTCAGCCTGCTGTCCTGTCCTCCACGTGCCGCCTCCACCTGCTCCATGTCTCCGGGCTCCTTTCTACTCAGTCCCAATGGTAGAGGTCTTCGTCTCTCTCTGCTTCTTCACTGTCCTCAGATTGTCCATTTATAGACAGACGAAGGGTGATAACGGTAACAGCAACAAATACTAGGATGTTAAAACAGTTCCAGGAATCTGGCAACTGTCAGTGGAGCTCCCTTTCTCATTAGATGAACTTTTCTACGCAGGGGTGGGGGGAGGCACTAGTTCCCTGGCTTCCTCGGGGAGGACACCTGGCCCTGCCCTCGCTCTTTTCTCTAGCCAACTCCCTCCGTGTAACACACGGGGCATCGATGATCTGGCCATTCCAGGGATCCCTCAGAAGAAGGTTCTTTAGATCTCAGGGGACTTCCCAGTGGATGTTTCCACTCTCAGTATCCCCTCTTGTTTACCAGGAAAGATCCAGTATGGTGACAACTCATTTGGGGAGAGAGATGTGACGTCAAGTGAGCTAAACCCTCCAGGTGCTCAGATCTGACCAGACGGGAGCCAGGCCTCCTCGGCGGACCAGCTGCAGCTCACAGGCAGCAGTGGCTGCTCGCAGCCTTCTCAGGGACTTGGCCGATTTGCAGTGCCAGGTTGGGGCAGGCTGCAGCCCGCCCTTCTCACACTGCCTCACGGCGGCATTGAGCCTGCCATCTCTCACTTCACTGCTCTGCACTGCCGAAGCTGTGGGGAAAAGAAGCACGTAGCTTCTCTTTAAGAATAGGTTGAGTACTCTGCTCCTGAGAAGCCGTGGGCCACTAATACCTGTTTTCCTGAAACCAAGGGAGGTCTCTGAAGTTCTTAAAAAAAAAAAAAAAATCAAAGTTCTCAGGACACATTTAATTCTTATTTCAGCTTCCCGTGCCGTCATGCCTCCAAGATATGACTAAAGGAATGGCAGATTTTTCCATGTAACTGCTCCACCTGCCTTATAGGCACACTTTGTATCAGGCAGGTACGAGGGGTTGATATCACACAGAAGGCTTTCCTTGGTGAGGAGGAGCGTCACGAAATTTATTTCTCTACTTCTGATTGTTTACACTTTCTTCAAGACTAGAATTTAAAAGAATTGTTGCTTTCACAAGATGTGCTCACGTGAATGGGCGCCTGAGCCTGGGGCTCTCTGTCTGAAAGGCACTCTTGTTAAAAATTCAGCTTCTTCTGGCCTCCAGAACAACTGGGTTGTTACCCAGTCCAGAGAGGACATCTCTTTTTGTGCCAAGAGAGCTGACCTTGGCAGAACAGACCACCGTGCCAGGGTTGGGAAGCCTCCTCCCTTTCTAGGGGTCAGCGTTTCAGCTTTTTTGCATCTGGTGGGCCAACGCTCTGGAGCAGACACAGGTGGTTGCAGTCTCAGTGCCGCATGTGGCCACGTGGGGGCGCTCTCGCACCATCCCTGCAGTCTCGACGTCTGACTGCGGAGGACTCTCCCCTGTGACAAGCTCCTATGTTGTATTCTTGCATTTCCTTATTCTGCCTGCCTAGTCCCTGGGCCCCCAGCACTCCCCTATCTGTTTAGGAACTTCTTCCTCTGCAGCTGCAACACCAGAGAGAAAGGGACCCCCCACCCCATGCCCAAGTATCACTCCAGGATAAAGGGCAAGCAGCCTCTGATGTCACGTTTCTGAGTAATGGTGAGTCACTGTGGGCCTGAGCTGGATGTCCTACTCTCAGAGGAGTGCCTTGCCTCAGAATGCGCCCTTCATCTGTAGAGAGTGTGGGGGTAGGCGTGGGGGCAGAAAGTGCCAAAGCTAAGATTTCCAGAATCCCGTGCTATCTTAAAATCACCTGGAGAAGTCTGCTGGGAGACACCATCGATGTTCCTCTGCTTCCCGCCCGTGCCCTGCGCTACGAGGGAGAGAGTCTCAGCACTGGGCCACCTAGGCCAGCAGTTTACAACTCTTTAGATCCTGATCCACAGCAAGAAACACTTTACATCACGAGTCAGTGCTCACATTCGTGCTTATATCTGTCTCAAACGAAAGTTTCATGAAGGAATTCTTAGCCTTACAACATGAGATACCCTCTATTTTCTCTTTTTCACATTTAAAAAAAATGTTGCTTGTAGTCTGCTAAATTGGGTTGATGCATAGTTTGAAGAACACTGCTGTAATCCAACTTTGCCTTGTTGTATAAGCCGAGGACCCCGAGGCTTGGACGGGAGCCCGTGTGCCCAGCTCACACAGGGAATTCGGGACTTGCGGGGGTGATTGTGACGTGTCCTTTACAGAGGGGTTGATAAGTACCAGGCTCGATACTAAACGTTTTGCACTTGGTCTTGTCTTATCCTTTCAACATACTCTGAGGTAGATGGAGGGATCCTCATTTACTGATGATTTTGAAACTGAAACTGAAGTTGTCTGATGGCAACAGGCCAGTTCTAAGCCAGGCTTAGAACCCAGGTCTTCAGGATGCTAGACATGTGCTCCCAGCCACCTACAGTGCCACCTTCCAGGGAGCCTGTGGGTGCTGGTGCCACGGTGGTTACCCAGAGCCCAGCTTCCCTGAGTGGAGGGGAGGGTGGAACTTCAGGTCAGAAGCCCCTGTGCACTTATAAAAGGCAGAAGGGCCCCTCCTTCGGGAGACCTCATCAAATGAGCGTCTCTAGAGCCAGCATTATTACCATTTGTTGTAGGGAAAGAATTGAGGGACTTTCCAGGTTGTTGTAAGCTAGATTCTGATTTTGATTTAGAAGCAAAGTTTTCTGCTAACCACAAGTTGAAATAGTCTTGTTTTGTTGCTCTTCCCTGCTTCTTGTTTCTCTGTAGACAGTGCTTTATACCCACTCTTGGGCCTCCAGTTTAGCAGCATAACCAGAGCTTTCTGCCAGTGGACTAATATTTCAGAATTCCCCCTCCAGGGTTGTCATTACAGAATGTGCAGGCTTGGTCTCCCTGGTCTGGGGGCTCCCTCCTGCTTTGCCTTGCTCCCTCCTTTCCCTGTTTGTGCAGAGAGCCCAGGCAGAGAGCTGGGGACTGTGGCAGAGAAAGGAAGGGAGAAGCTTCCACAAAAGAGGTAGTTCCCTACAATTTAGTTTTTAGGAACAAAAATTTTTTTCTACGAAAACATATGCAGCTTCACCTAAGCAGCTTCTGCATCAGCTTTACCCGGATTTATTTTCATCTTAAGTAGATGGGGCCCTGCAGACCTTGGTCCCCTGGTAGAGAAGCTACCTGGCATCATGTCAGTGTCAGAGAATGAACCAGTCACAGGAAAGGCCGGTGGTGGCACAAGGGTGAGATGGCCATGGCAGGCCAACATGATCAGCACCCACCTGCCCCGCAAAAGACAGACTCCAGAGGGGGCCAGGGCCTTGAGAAGGCTGCTGCCGCCGGCATCACAGGCGTCAGGCCCACGAGGCACGTCCGCCCTGGCTGTGCGCTTGCTGAACTGAGGAAGGTCTGTCTGCTGCAGTGTCCCCCTCCCCACAACTCCCCTACAGCCTCGGTGCTGCAGCCCATGCTCAGGTGCTGCTCGCTTTGTTCAGGGCGCATTTCTGTGGGGAAGAGATAGTTCCTCCCACCTCATCAGCATTTGGCAGCTGATGAGACCCGAGGGCATCTGGACCGGTCAGGTCGAGGTAAGGACGGCTCCGGTGGTGTTGCCCAGCCCTCGGGGGCTCTGAGCACTTGAATTGCTGTAGTTGGAGGTGCATAGTTGGAAGTGCCGGTTTATTCCTTTAATAGTCCTGCCTGCTCTCATCCCGCCTGCGAATGTCAGCCCGGGCGTCAATCTCTGGTCCTGTGTCCATCGTTCGTTGCTCGCTTGGGGGGTTTGAGTTGGGTGCTGGCATGTTGTTTGTTTCTTAGCCACATGCTGTGGCATGAAATAAAACCCCTTCCTGCCCTTTCTGCTCCTGAGCAGAACGCCGCCTCCCGTTTAGATCAGCCCCCCGTACACAGCATGACGCGAGTGGGAACCCAAATCAGCATGTGTTCTTGGAAGCCGTGCGATCGCAGGTGTCTTCCAGGAGCATCCATGGACCCTTCTCCAGAGGCGTGCGCTCCAGACCTCCTCCAGTCAGCAGCTCGAGGTGGGGCGTGAGTGAGAAACTGAGGATTCCTCAGCTCAGTGCTAAGCAAGGTGCAAACTTACTAATGCTGTCATCAGCGCAAGGCAGAAACAGCAAGAGGTTTGAGGAGGCATTTCTGAAATTATAGCAAGCTGGAGGAAAATGATCCCTTTGATGAAGCTTCCTCTCCAGCCGATTTCAGGAGTGCATCTGTTTGCAAAGCAAGTCCCTAGGGATGTGTATGTCTGTGTGTGACCCATAGCTGGGAAAGGGCAGAGATCTAAATCAGTTATGCTACTGCTTATTTGATTCTCAAGGATGGTCTTTGTTAAGACCTGCATCTCTTCTCTGCATCTTTTCTGTCCCTCTGGCGTGGGGAGGTAAACACAGTTTCGTTTGCTGAAAGCTGTATGGAATATATTTGAACGGCTAGTAGTTAGCCTTGAAAGTGGAAATAAACAGAACTACAGAAATATGTCAGTTTGGGTCCTTAGCTGTACCCCCCACAG